GCTGGAAGAGACCCAACTTCCAACACCATTCCAGGACCTATGGCCGAGAGCTTAACTTTCTCTCCTTATGAACAAGCTCCACCATCTCCCATAACCCTGTGCTGAGAACTGGGCTGTGGCCACACGGGTGTTGTGAGGATGACATCATTCAGATCAAACGAGGCAGAGGTCCACGTCAAAACACTGGACCTAGCTCCCTAGGTCCAAAGGAGAGGCAGAAGGAAGGAGAACGTGAACAAAGAAGGCAAGAGCAGAGGGAACCTTCATCCGACGTTGGATGGCGATACAGACGGAGACCCATATTGGAGCACCGGACGGAGCCCTCCACGATCCAAATGAGGAGCAGAAGGATGAAGAAAATGAAAAAAGAAATCAGGACTGCGATGGGCGCCATCACCCACTGATACAAGGGGACTGATCTAATGAGAGTTCACCAAGGCCAGCTGGACTGGAACTGAACGAGCACGTGATCTAACCAGATTCTCTGAATGTGGCCGGATTCTCTGGATGTGACTGGCCGGGAGTCTTTCTGAAAAGCCATTGACAATGACACTGGGACTTGTTTCCTCTGCATATACTGGATTTTTGGGATCCAGTCTGTCTGGATACTCACCTTCCTGGACCTGGAGGGAGGGGGGAGGAACTTGAACTTCCCACAGGGCAGGAAACCCTGACTATTCTTAGGGATGGAGAGGGAGGAGGAGAGGGAGTGGGGGAAGTGGGAGGGTGTTGGGAGGAGGGGCGGAAATGGAAACTTTTATAATTTAATAAACTTTAAAAACAAAAACAAAAAAACAAACGAGAGCAAGAGGGACAACTGATGCCGAGCTTTGCTCTGTGAAGTAGAATGTGTCCGTGGTCCAGAACAGGCATTGCTTCACTAAAGCTCCACTAAGTTTTGTATGGGGAAAACGTGCATATCAAAGAAAAAAGTTAACAATAATTAAAAAGTAATTTAATTTTAATTTGATATTTATCTTCATTAATTGGATGACTTTCAATTTTATAAGTCTTTTTTTTAGTTTTCCTGGTTTTGTGTCTTGGTATTATAGGATAGAACAGGTAAAATAAAGATGTGAATGTCTGCCTATACACATTGTTTCTCCAATTCTGCTAGCGACTGGCAGCCAATGTTACAAGCTCGACAACTTGGCACTCATCACTGTACATGTTCTCTAGTTCCTTTCCCTGTACTTAAAACATCGTTTTACTATAATGGAATCAGATAATTTCCCCTTCCCTTTTTCTGGTAATCTCCCCTATGTATCTGCCTTGCTCTCTTTCAAATTCATGGTTCTTTTTTCATCATTGGTGTGTGTGTATTGTGTTTGTGTGTGCATCTAACTGTATGAAACAATAGAGTCAATCCATATAATGTTACTTAGATTTATGTTTTCAAAGCTAAGTGTTTAGTATTGAATAATCGATTGGCATGTTCTTCCCTCGGGAGATTCTCCTGCCTTTAGCATTCCTTTAGTTTTTCATCTAGGGCTTTCTATGAGAGCTTAGGAACACTCCCCATTCCAAGTTAACCTGTCTGTTGATGACTTCCTACTTCAGGTCATGTCTAGAATCCGTGTTAGGGAGACTTCTTGAGTGTGACCTTTCTGACACTTCCAGAGTAGACACAGCCCCTCAACAAACTTCCTGTTCCTCTGCTTCTTGCAGTCTTTCCACCCCTTCATTCCCAATGATCCCTGAGCTAGGTGCAGGAATTGTATCATTGATTTATGTCTTGGTGTCAGATTTAAGTTTATTTGCAAGTTCACTCCTTTGGCTTGCAAACCTCAAAGATATCTGAGACGTAGCTAAACATCACTAGGCAAAACTAAATGCAATGCGAAGTTAAATAGTTTAGTTTGGATCCAGGAGCATTTTAAATTTGCTTGAAGATCATGTAGCCACTTAATATCTGATAAACAAAGTGACCAGAAATTCCATGCCTAGTAATCCCAATTGAAATTAAACCACTCATTTCTGCAGGTGAACTCGGGTCTTGAAGTGACCAGCCTTGGGATTCTTATCTTCACACCGCTCAACTCCGACATTTTAAAATCAGGGGTTTTGTTGTTGAAATACGTTCACACATCTTCTGCTTGGTACAATTAACGAGAAAGTTAATAATATTCCATTTGTGCTCTAATGTGGCTCAGTTGAACACCTTTCTAATTTAAATTCTACTGCCCTGTTGTGTCTAGAAGACATAGCCTCCCGCACTACATCTTTATCATTACTGTATTCATAATGTTTATTGTGAAGTTATGTGTGGAATGCAGATGGGTCTCTGCTGCGGAATTGAAGTGTGAAGCAGTCCCACGTTAGGTACAAAGTGACGGTCACTTAATACTCAGCAGTAGTATTACTATAGTATCTGTATCTACTTTGGGCTCCACATGTCCAGCAATGACTCCTCGTGAGTCCAGACACCATGGTATACATCTCCTGATTGCTCGCTGACCCTGAGGACACAGTCTTCCGCGGTTGCATTATCGGTCTGTCGTGTGAGAAGACAATAAACAGTGTAGGGAAAACGGTGATGGGTGGTGCAAGGACTTGGGCTGCAGTGCCCACGGCATTCTCAAGAAATTCTCCCCCTGGAGTTAAAGGGACTGGCTCAGATTCAGAAGTTTATTTAGCACACTTCAAAACCATTTGGCTTTGCTACTGGTGAGGCTCCATATTGAAAATAGCAGACTAAAGAAAAAGGTACAGTTTAAAAGAAAATACTCCATCCATTATTTGAAGAATGAGAATGAAAACTTATCTTCAAACCATTTATTTTTTTATTGCTATAACTGAGTATGTAAAGATTTTCTGTCTATTTTATCTTGGCCAAGTAGAAGAAGTACTAGGTTGAATATTTAAGGAGAAGCGTTTCTTGTTATAACTGGGAGACAAAGGAAGATTTCTCCTGAAGTAAGGCAGACCTGATTGAGCCCAAGTTCTGTAACTTATGATCAGTATAATCTTTGAAGATATCTTGTCTTCGCAAATTCTTTGTTTGTTAAATATTAAATAAAAACACAAAGAATAAGTGTTTATTCACCTCTGAGTCAACAGCACTGAAGACCATGAGTGTTGGTGTGTAAAAAGATTGACATCCAGGCATGTAAGTTTATTTAAATAAATTATCATTCCAAATGTAAGACAAAACTAGAAAAATTTGCCCCCAATCTTGAAGTATATGTTATAGGATAGAAAGTAACCTGAGTACACTATTTTTGTTCAATGAACGCCAGCCTCCCACGCTTTATGCTTCCCTCATACACTGACCAAGCATCTCTGGGCTTGCTTCCTTGGGCATTACTAATTTCTTATTTTTTGTTGCTTTGGTTTGCTATGGGGATTCTTTCCATTTTCTTCTTTGGCACTGAGCTCTTACACACATAAAATGTAACTTAGATTTTGTCTTCTTCTCTCTTCACCGTTTTATAAGCAATGATAAAAATTCCCCGACCAGAGGCATTTTGTTTCGAGTTTGTGGCAGTGTGTCTTATCAGATCTTAGTTTGCCCTGATGTGACGGCCTCCACCCACAAGGGGTGGAGAAAGGTACTGTGATAATACAGGAGAGGCAGAGTGAGTTCCCAACCTCTCCTATTTTTTTTCCAATTTTCAAAGCCTTTATTTGAAATAGTTAGACCTTGTCATTTGTCTTTAAATAAACAATATCTATAGCTGCTTGATTGCAGAGGTAGGCAAAATATACATGACACAGTGGCAACTAACTCATTACTCGACAGATTATCACTTTCTAAATATCTACCATCAGTTTTCATCTATCTATCATTTATTTATATATCATCTATCTGTAATCTATTTATCACCTATTTATCATCTATTTATCATATTTCTGTCATGTAACTATTTATCATCTACCAGTCATCTATATATGTCTATGCATCCATTATGCATGTCACCTGTCTTGTATCTATTACATCTATCTATCTATCTATCTATCTATCTATCTATCTATCTATCTATCATTAATCACTTGTGTGCAAGTACCCATGACAAAATGTCTGTTTACTTTATTACCGAGCATTTTCAAAAAGCACATACTAAGATGAATTAAGTTCATGTGACAGTGCCTTCTCCATCTGGATGCTAAGCTGGGTGCCACATTGAATAATAGTCCTTCCCCTCAGGGAATGGCAGGCCACTTTCTGACCACTTGGCAGCATAAGGTACTTCACAGGGGTTACCGGATTCGGCCAAGAGCTTGTGAGCACTATACCTGTGTCCCCAGGAAAACTCTGACTTTCTATGAGTGGCCCTGTATTTCTAGAGCAAGCCTCCAGTGATGAGGCAAGAACCGTGCTGGGACTGATGTAGGATCAACCTGTCTTCTGTGGAAGGGTTTCATAGACAGAAGGCACCTCTGAGGGCAGGACTCATGTATTCTGGTCTTCTGCAGTGTCTTTCCTGTGGCTTCTTTGACAAATGGACCTCCAGCCTCTTCTTAAGGACTTCAAGGGACAAGGGTGTGATGGGCAGTTCATCCTTCCCCTCCTTAATCTACAATCTGAGTAGCAATGTAGCAATGTCAGGAGAAAGGATTAAGAAGAATCGGGTTTTGGTCCCATGACCTTTCGTGTTTCCTTCTCTAGCAGGGCCATGATGTAAGTTTGACGTAAGGCTCAAATAACATAGTTAATGGTTACCTTAAATGTGATGTATATGTATTAAAGCCAGCAATGCTCTATTAGTGACTAACTGTTGAGTGAATGAATGAATGAACAAATGATTCATTGCTCCCACCCACCCCATCCACAATCAATTCGGTAGAAAATTCTCCATAAACTTAGCACTGACCCTTGATCCCTGAAGTCAGGATAGGAATGTAAGCACATACACTGTGTCGGTGTAAAATGGGGCCAAAAATTCGCCTTGAGCATTCGGCATAGCGCCCATCCACTTGGCATTGCTAGAGCCACCAGAGAGTCAGAGTGACAGCGAAAGTATTGCCAGCCACTGACCTTCCCCTCTAATCTCTTCCAGGAACTTCTACTACATCACCATGTTGCGGGACCCAGTGTCGCGTTACCTGAGCGAGTGGAAACACGTCCAGAGAGGGGCCACGTGGAAAACCTCTCTCCACATGTGTGACGGAAGGAGTCCCACCCCGGATGAGCTGCCTACCTGCTACCCAGGGGATGACTGGTCTGGGGTCAGCTTGCGGGAGTTCATGGATTGCAGCTACAATTTAGCCAACAACCGGCAGGTGCGCATGCTCGCTGACCTCAGCCTGGTGGGCTGCTACAACTTGACTTTCATGAACGAGAGTGAGCGAAGTGCCATCCTGCTGCAAAGCGCTAAGAACAACCTGAAGAACATGGCCTTCTTCGGGCTCACGGAATTCCAAAGGAAGACACAGTTTCTCTTTGAAAGGACATTCAACCTGAAGTTCATCTCCCCTTTCACACAGTTCAACATCACCCGGGCTTCCAATGTGGACATCAACGAGGGAGCCCGCCAGCATATCGAGGAGTTGAACTTCCTGGACATGCAGCTCTATGAATATGCAAAAGACCTCTTCCAGCAACGCTACCATCACACCAAACAGCTAGAGCACCAGAGGGACCGCCAAAAGAGGCGTGAGGAGCGCAGGCTGCAGCGAGAACACAGAGCGCACGGGTGGCCCAAAGAAGACGGGGCCACAGAGGGGACGGTCACTGAGGACTATAACAGCCAGGTGGTTAGATGGTGACCCTCTGCCTTCTCCTTTTTCATGACGGGGAGACAAGCAGGCACCTTGCCCTTCTGTTGGATCCCATTGAAGAAACCGGGTCATGCTGAGGACCCTTGGCTGTGTGTGACTTAATTCGGATGTCTGCTTCCTCTTCTTCATCTTCAATCCAACTGGAAACTTTCCATCTTGTTTATTATTTTTTTCTTTTTCTAGACTTTCTCTGATCACTGATATATTTGGGGTAGAAATGTATCCAACACACCACGTTAAGTGGTCAGAAACGAGGCCTCAGAAATGAGACAGTGTGTAGGATCTTTGTCAGTCACATGGGCCAATTGGGAATCTGGAACCCACAGTAGTACACAGGAAAACAAAAGCCACGGCTTGGATTGTCTACCGAATGCATCATGATGCACCCACTAGAACATAGCTCTGTTTAGAGATAGAGAGAAAGACGCTCTGTCCTTAGATGACCCATCTCATTCAGTGTTGAATTTGGGAGCTGTTAAGATGAGGGTTAAATCAAGAATGACATGGTTTGTCTTTGCAGATGTTTTTAAACAAAATTACTATATTACTGACCATAGCTAGGGACTCCTAGCCTACAAATGCCAACATCAGAGCCCTAAGCCCTGGATCTACTCTGTCTTTTAGGGGACAGGGAAAGAACAGAATGTTGGTTTGGTTATGGCCCTGAGAAATAAACACTAGTGGGAGGGACATTTTGGGGAGCACACTTATTTAGGAATGATGACGAAGGAGATTGCACTTTACTGGTGTTAATCCCTCAGGCATAGAATAAACAAGAAATTTAGAGAGTGTGGGCAAAGAAACCAGGAGAAAAACTCCAGTAAACCAGCTTTAGAGCCTTAGTTGTTACTTTGAAAGAACGTCAGACTTTTGCCTTTGGGGAACAGACACCTTCTCAGTCAGGTTCGAAATTCTGCTATCCCAAAAGGAAAGATGTTTTCAAAAGCCTTGACTTAAATAACAGGAGCCGAACCAAGGACACACACTCCATTCCAGGTCAATACATGAGAGGGGCCAGGAGACACAGCACGGTGTCCATGAGACAGACCAGGAGTTCAGAGGGACCCTGCCCCTGACATTCCCAGTGTCTTTAAACCGCTCCCTTCCCATGTGATCATTGCCTGTTCTGTGGCTCCAACCAGAGAATCAAGCTACAGTGCACAAAGCTGGACCAAAAAATAAGCTGCATTGCCCTAGGGTCCTCGGTTTTGCCCTTTCCAAGCCCCAACAACAGTCTCTTCTGTGGGAAGGGAGGGGAAGGAGGGAGTGGAAAGCCCTGCCTCCCCTTCAGCTGGAAGGTCAGAGTGGGTGGAGAGTTTTACAGTGCGCTGATAAGATCAGCCCTTTAAAGCAGCTGAGGCGAAAGCTGGAGACCCAGAAATCCGGCTGCAAAGCCTCTTTCACTGATGCCCCCACATGCTTGATGTTTAAGCCAGATTTACGTCAGTCACTTCTCAGCCTTCAGAAGGTGCTTTCTGGGGCTGAAAGGTCATCATCTCCGAGTGTTTGTGGGTTGTCTGCTGCAAGGGAGCAGTGCGTCTTTTGTAGATTCCCATAGAGAAGTGGCTTTGAGGTTTCTCTCACTGCGGTAGGCATCTAGTGTACTGCAGGAAATGGTGTCATCGGACGACCTTAGAATCCCCGTGCTCTGCTTATGATGTTATTTAGCGTAACAAGGCAGACATTGCCGGTCCTCACTTTATTGTTGAGAAGATGAAGTCCGCAGATGGGATGAGGCTTCCCTGGGGATTATCAGGTGGACCAAGTTGGCCAGAAAGCACAAGATCTATATTTACATAGTGCTTCCCACGTGGGATAAATCTTTCTGCCAATCATATAAGACGCCGGATGCTATGACTCTGAAGTATTTGCTCCTGATCTGCAGAGGTGGCATGAAGGGACACCACTGCCCTTTCGGTGATCCGAGCGGTCCTGAGCCCTGCTCCCCACGGGGCAGTGCCCCCACATTACTGTCTCACTAGTGAGCTGAGAGTTGGATGACTTCTTCAGCAGCCCTAAATGCTGAGTTACACACAGTAGTAAATTCAAAATGAAGAATTGGCTCTGGCTTTTTAGTTGGGAGAGATGAGATAGAGATGTGTTTTCTTAGGATGATTTGCTCCAGAGGAAGCAGGGAAAAGAGGGAAGGGCAGGAATGGATGAGAATACATCATTTGTTAAAACCTCCTGTTCTGCCAGGAATGGAAACCTGACAATTGTGCCTCTGCAGTCCACTGTGGCGCACATATACATATGGGAAACACACACCTCGGCATTTCTTTTTAAAATGGAAAACCATTTGAAAAACTAGAAAGCAGTAGATTTATTCTTTAAACTCACTTTACATTTTTGGTAAGGAATCTTCGGAGGCAGGCTCTGCTGCCTCCATATTGTTCCTCCAGAACCTTCGAGTTTATAGCAAAAGGCTTTCTGCCACCCCTCTGCTGAATGTAGGCTGTGTGGCCCTCCATTCCCTGGAGAGCAGACGAGAAACCACCTCTGTGTTGGCCTCAGACCAGTGCTAAGTAAACTGGAGAGACTAGCATGGCCTTCCTTGCTTGTTTAGCTCCCTTCAGAAGCACTGCAGTTATCAGTGTCCCCAGGACACGGAGAGGTGGGGTAGAGCGAATTCTCTGGAAACTGGCTGCACAGCTTCATGCTGGCTGATGCTGCAGGAAGAGATGCCAGTGGCAGGCTCAGGAAGCTAAGGAGGCATGGCCGCTCATCAGCCTTAAGGTCTAAAGCCACATCAACTCCCACTCCATAGAGGAAATACAACCCCTAGGTAATTCGACATCTTGTGGGCTCCTCCAATTCCCAGGCAGGTTTTTCTCCCTTCTCTTGGCGGTAGCAGCACAAGACAGTGGAGTGGAATATATAGGATGCTTGTGTCTGTGTGTATGCCCCCATGTGTATATGTGTGTGTGTGTCCACGTGTGTGTGTTTGGGTGTGTGTGTTCACATTGTACAGGGTGTGTAGGGAGAAGAGTGTATTTACATATTGTGAGGTTCTATATGTGTGATTTGTCTATCTGCCTGTCTGTTCACATTTTGTAGTTGTGTGTGTGTGTGTGTGTGTGTGTGTGTGTGTGTGTGTTGTGTGTCACACACTTTGTTCATACTTTGGTAGAAACTAAGATAGACACTTTTTAAAAAAATCTCCTTCCAGCTTCCTGGAAGCCTAATCTAAATACTGGAGGAAATAGTTGATGATCGTACCAATCAATGTTGACAACACTTAAGGAAAATATTATGAGTTACTGAAAACCTAATCAAATATTTGAACTAAAAATCTTTATTTGATCAGACCACTAACGTAATAGTTTTAGAAGTCTGGATGGAGAGGGGACTAATCCTCTATTATTGCTTCTTCATTCTAAGACAGAGCATCTACCTCCTGGCCAAATGTGTCTGCGTTAGCCACAGCCACCTTTTCTTCACTTGAGGCAGTGGAGGGAGGCCCGGGGAATTGCAGGTACTACTTACGGTCATGTCCCGTTGGCTGGAATCCAGATGTTAGCTGCGTCTAGTTCCAGAGAAGACTAGAAAATGTCTTTATTACTCAGAGCCGGCTGTCCTGATAAGTGGGGGGGGGCCCTATTGTTAAAGAAATGAGGGAGAATTAATACTGATAGAAAAGTACCCGTCCCCAACACAAAAGGAAGTGGGGAAAAATGCCAAGTCCTTTTCAGTGTCAATTATTTCCTCATCAGCTTTACAAAGGATGAGATTAAAATTTATCCTGTCAGCATTTAATGCTTTTCAAAACATTTTAGCTTGGTATCTCACTTGGCCTGTCTCACATTCTTGTGCACTGGCTGCATTTCCATTCTCTCATGTTTGATCATTTGGAATGAAGATTCAGAGATGTTGGAAGATCCCCCTACCTTTCGTTCATTTGCAAGGAAGTTGCTCAGAGTCCATGGGCTTTCGGCCTCAGCTTTTCCTAATACCGAGTGCTACTTGGCATCAGTATCGGGACTGGGAACTGCAAGAAGGTGAAATCTAAATCTTTATTGATTTCTGTTTTCTCTTCACCTTGTTCTGCAGCTGTGGTGACCTAGAAAATACCACGGAGAGGTGCAATAGACTCTCAGCTCTGCCCCCAGTGAAGGGGCCTCTGACTTGAGTGAAAAGTTTGGGTAGAGAGCAGTACAAAGGGAGTCTGAGAAAAGTACATGAATTCAGGGGAGACACTCAAATATCTATAGCTGGATGTCGACTCTATTCCTCCCTCAAACTCTCCAACATGGAGACTGAGGGGATAAGCTCACAACTCCAGTGGGATGCACAACATTCAAGAAATTCAGAATCAGTAGCTGCCTGTTAGGAAAGCCTAGGGGTGATCAATAGGACCTCTGCTCCTAAAATGCCTCCCTCTCTCTGCTTTTCCCCTGGTCTCTGGTATTTTATCAACAGCATAGTGTTAGAGTTCTTAGGTTTTCTTGGTATTCGCGGAGCTCCTTTGCCCACTGCTGGAGGTTGAAACACTTTAAACTGTAACAAGTAAGCAACTTCACCCAGTCTATCCGATCCCTTCCCAGACGTGTCACCTGGCTAAGAAGAGGGTCAAAATGGGATCACACAGACACAGAGGACTACAGACAATAGAGCAGCTATAGAAGAGGTAGGGCTCCGAGAGATAGGCCAGCCAGAGGAAGATGATAGTTAACGTATATGCCAGTCCATAGTGGAATATAGAAACATGGCAAAGACACAATGTGGGTCCTTAGGATAAAAGGCAGCCCAGAAACACATGACTTAATTCTTCTACCCACTTAGCAGAGCACAAGAGGGGCGCACCTATGGGACAGAATCAGAGCCTCGGGTAGACGTGGGAGTCCCAAGACTGACAAGGGTAGAAGAGTTGAATTAGACAGAGAGCGGTGTTCGCCTTCATCTGAAAGCCTCCAGGCCGGGCGGCGGGCTGGCCGAGGCTGCCAATGCTATCCAGGTCATGACTTCTGAGGCTCATGTGGCTGCTCCTTCTCTCAGCCCTTTGACTTCCCTTTTCATCCTGTTCTATCTCTACTGCACACTAGCCAATGTCAGTTCAGTTCACCGTATTCACCAGGACACCTCTGGGTGGATTCTCTGAAGCCGAACGAGTCCTCCAGGGCAGCTGGGGCATTCTGAGTTTTGTTACCTATCAGAGAGAACAGACATGGACCCATCTTCACAGTCTATTGGCAGAACTGGCCTCCGCTGCAGAGGTGCTGAGAATCCTGAGGACTGGCCTGCCGTGAACACTAGAGGGGTTGCAAGTCTCTGCACTTCTGGACCAGGACCGGGGGTAGTCTGATGGAGTCCCGAGATGCTGAGTCTGTAGACACTAGCATGTGGATGTTTCTGGAACCTGTCTTCTTCAACATCTACAGGACAGACGGCCACTGTCCACTTTCAGCGATCTGAGGGTGGCTCTGTGAGAACCACATTCTGCCTCACTGTGGGAACTCATGTTAGGCCAGAGATTCCGGCCACACATCCTCAGCATTTGCTGGGAAAACACTGTCCTGACAGGCAGTTCTGTGTGACTTAGCCATGGTCACACATCTTCCATCTTCTTCTCATGCTTTCTTTGAATCATATGACCAAGAGTTTTCTACCAGAAGTACTTTCTGGGTTTTTGCTTGCATTTTGTTGTTCTTCTTCTTTTTTTCAATGTATCAAATCAATGTTAGAAAAATCTAAATCTTTATCTGGTGCCCCATTCTAGATGTAAGACAGTTATTCAATAGATGCGATTATTTCCTCTAGGAGGTGTTTCTTCTTCCGTTGCTGTGCAGTATGTATGAACTTGGTTATTAGGAGATTATATTGTGACATTACCAATCTTTATTGCTATTTAAAAATGATAGTTTGTAGACCCAAGAATTCCCGTGGATGTGAAGCACAATTTAATGGATAAGTTAACATATTAAACTGTTGTGATGTCAAGAATATATTTTTCTTTCTGGTGTTTTTGTAAGACTTTGATACAAAATGAAAAAAATTACCTAAGTACTTCAACAGATTTATGAAAATCAAATCCACAGGATTCGTTTAGCCAAAGTAAGGAAATTCATGCTACCGACACAAATGTGGTCATTGGATATGAAACCATAAAAGCCACAAAAGACAAGGAATATGGTGATTGGAAACTGTTTGGATTCTGTGAGGTCCAGGCACTTGTCACAGACTCTCAGACACATCAGCTTCTAAAACTGTACTCTCCACATGCATCTCCCCTCTCCCTTCCCACCTACTCCTATCACCTTAAAACTGAGTTGGCCAATAAATGTGGACTACCTCCTGGTGAGGGGGAGAGATGAGGTGATGGTTCGAGACAGCAGCTGTTGTGAAAGGGAATCAAAGGTGCAGAGAAGGACTTAGGAGTCCCATCAAAGAGAACAGGGAGGAAAGAAAAGAGGAAACCAGAGCAGAAGAAAAGCAAAAGAATAGCAACTAAAATGGGTCTCTTCTCTCATTCAGTCTGTGATGTGGTTAAGACTCAAAAGAAAAATGATTTTCTCCTATAATGTAACAAGGACTGAAATTTCAGGGTAGCAAAATTCCTCGTTTACAAAATCCCTCAAGAAACACTATTATCATTTTCATTCTCTTTCATAGGAGAGGAAACAGTAAATCCCTGCCTTGTTTATGGATGAGAATTTTTTTAGCCATAAGAAAATATCCTTTGACCAAATCCCCTCAAGTGTGAATCATTCAGAAGAGATGTTTGACTTTCTAACAATGGGAAGAACTGCTATTGGCTGTAGTTTTTGAGATAGGATCTTGCTATATATCCTAGGCTAGTGTTGAACCCTAGGCAATCTTCCTGCCTCGAACTCTTGAGTACTGGGATTTACAGGAATACATGACAACACCCAGCTCATTTTTCCACTTAAAGGAAGTATTATACATCTTTTCATTGAGACTTCAAAATTGGCAGGACCATTACTTGATCTTTGGGAGCCATTATTAGGTAAAATAAAAATTATTTGAGCCCAGCACCAAGATACAAATATAGTGGGTCTGATAATTGAGATGCCTAATATGATGTCAACCTGACTGAGCAAGAATGCCAAGAACTTTGGTGGCACATCTTTAAATGTGCCTGTGAGATGCTTCTGAAGAGGATTAACTAAGACAAGATCCACCCCAAATGTGAGAGTCAACATCCCTTGGGTTAGGTCCCAGGCTAAACAGAAACTGGGAAAACAGAAAGGCAGTGGAAATGAGCTAAGTGTGCTTTCTCTGCTCCTTAGACCACCCAGATGTGTGCAAGCCTCTTTACACAGGTAAGAGCCACACCAGACGCCATGCCTTTCCTGCCAGGATGAACTGTGCCTTTAAGTCACGGGCCAAAATAAGCCCTTTCCCCTATAAGTTGCTATTTTTGTCAGAGCAATAAGAAATGTAACTATAAGAGCTAAGGGACTAATGGGAAGGTGTGTGTGTGTGTGTGTGTGTGTGTATGTGTGTGTGTGTGTATACACTGTAACCACTGTAACTATTACAGCTAAGGGACTAATGGGAAGGGAGTATATATATGGTGTGGATACATTGTAACTATTAATCAATGGAAAGGTAGTTTATATATGGCATGGATACACTGTAACTATTAGTCAATGTGAAGGTAGTATATATGGTGTGGATACACTGTAACTATTACAGCTAAGGGACTAATGGGAAGGTACTATATACGGTGTAGATACACTATACATAGTGGTTCATACCCTAGGCAAGATGAAACAGGTGCAATATTTCACCACAGTGCTTGGAAGGGCAACTGAAATCTAATGAAGTGCTTATTTCTAAAAGTTTCTATTCAATACTTTTTCATTAAGTAAATTTGTGCTTTGACAACTTCGTGCATGTGTGCAATGCACTCTAGATATCCTCGTACCCCCCCCATTGTCCCCTCTCCTCCCTATCAAGTGTCCTTCCCCTCACAACAAGCCCCTCTTCCACTTTCATGACTTTTTACTTATTTTATGATCCGCTGAATTTAGCAAGAGCCATATGTATAATCATAGGCTTAGAACTTCCCATTGGTGCCTTGTGGGTCCCACTGGTGAGCTTACAACCACAGACAATGGCTGCCCTCTCCCAGCGTCACCCAGTAGCCAGTAGTTTGGCCTCATAATGCCCTCCTTGGTGCATGCCTGATTGCTGAGGCCCAGTACAGGCCATCTCAGTTCCTGTGAGACCAGGACATCAACAGTTATGTCATGGCCCAGCCCTTTTTCTAGATCATAGCTACTTTTCAGTCCCTTTTATAGAATTGGAGAAGGTGAAATAAAGACATTGTTTAGAGCTAACCACTCCATCCCATCTCAGGAACTTGAGCAGCTTCGTGTTCCCACAGTCACGGTTGCTCATTATAAAGAGGCACTTCCCTGGTGAAGACAGAGGAGGGCACTCATCTATGGGTATAAACACACCTATTGAAAAGGCAGTTTGGTTGGTCCTGCTTCAATTTAGCTGAATGATATAATTTCCTTTAGTATCTGGTCCTCAGGATTAATTTTTTGACTGGGTTAACAATAGTAGGCACACAGCCAGGCAAGTGGCATGCGCCTTTAGTCCCAGCACTAGGAAGTCAGAGGCAGGCAGATCTCTGTGAGTTCACGGTCAGCCTAGTCTGCAAAGCAAGCTCCAGGATAGCGAGGGCTATGACACAGAGAGACTCTGTTTAAAAAGCAAGCAAACAGACAACAACAAAACAGTAGTAGGCACAGATTGCCTTTTGTGGAATGGTCCACGAATCCCATCAGAGAGAGACTGGCCACCCCTATGACAGTGGTGCCTTCATTATTCCACTGGAAAATTCTTGCCTGGTAAATTGGCATGGTAGCTTGTAGGGTTCATAGCTGGGTAAGGCCAACGATATCTTTTCTCTTCCAGTAGCCTGCATAAAGCCTCAGCTCTATGAAAGGTGGGCAGCAGAGAAGTTTCCAGCTCAGCTCCGGCTCGCTGTCTCTGTATGTTACAAAGATACATCGTGCACTGGGATGGAAAGGTTTAAACGGATGAGGAGATATAAGAAATAAAAGGGAGTGAAAGGGAAAGGTTAGCCAAAATGAAGAGTACCCAAAATATCCAATAGAAATCTAGTACTTTGTAAGTGGATTTAAAAATAAACATAACTGAAAAAAGTAAAAAACAGAAAACAAAATCAAAGCAGATAGGAGGTCACCAGTGTGGCTGGATATTCCTGGCACTAGAAGCCATGATCATTAAACAAAATAGAAATACCATACAATGCCTCTGTATGCGGTTGGTCAGAAAAATTCCAGAGACCTCCAAAGTGGTTGGGGTGGGTGTGGGGCTCTTTCCACTCCTCATGGATGCCCACTAGTACAATACTGTTTGCCACTCCAAAGGCATTAGGACTAGGAGAATGGAGCTTAAAAACAGTACCATGCAAAGCTGTTTATTCAGAGCATCAGACAGTTTCTACCCCAGGTTGAGAAAGGTCACCACGCGTTCAAACATGCTTCCACAAAGGCATATCAACAAATAACAACAGCCAGCTGTCATGAAGAATCTGCAGTAAACTCTCTCCTGCTGCCCTAGGAGAGACATAAAAGCACTTTCTTAGAATACTCCCACTTTTTTTAAAAAAACTTGTCTTGTTGTCTTAAAATTCTCTCACAAGCACTCAGAATTTCCTTCACACAACTATTCTTGGACCATGTTCTGACAATTATAACTATTATTATGTTACTGGAGACACTACTTAATATTTGTGAGTACCATTAACAATGAGTAATTAAAAATCATGGAATATAAAATAGTGATAAGGGAGCTTTATACAGTGCCAAAAATAAAATTTAAAAAAATATTAATTTTATTGAAAAATCTGTCAGTATAATTCTATAGAATATAAATTTGTGAATTGATAAAAAAAACAAAACAATCCAATATAATTTATTTTACAAATTATGTAATTTTTATGGTTACTATAGATAATATGGAAGATGGAAGGTATTTAGAATCCATAGATTATAGATAAAGACTGTTTTTATCTACTTCCTTCCAGATCTTTATGCAGTAGCAATTAAAGTAAAATTTTAACTAATGTGTGTCTTAGAAAATTGACATCATATAATTCATGCAGTGGAAATGCATATATTAACATCTTAACCACACTATGAAACATAAATTTAATAGATGCATACAACTTTACCATTCTTATCTCTTAGTAATTGCCAGTTCTAATCTCCCTAATATAAGTGTCAGTAAAATAAACATCTACACTTACAGAGCATCTGTATGCTTTCTGTTGTTACTAAGTTGTCCAGGCTGACCTAGAACTCACTATATGGCACAAGAGGGTCTCAAACTCCCTGGAATCCTGCTGCCTCAGCCTCACAAGCGTTGCAATTGCAGACATCCATCACCACGTTGAGCTTATCCATATTTACGCCTTCTACAGAGAGGACAGACGGCCGCTTTGGCAGCGTGTTAAAAAAAAAAATCTTCTAAAGCAAACATTCAATATTGTTAAAAGAAAAAGGTCTATGAGGAAAAAAATTCACCCTTAAATCAAATAAAAGAGTATGGTCACTCTAGAGCCTCCCACCTGACCCAAGACCTATGGAACCATCATTCTCAAGATCTCCATAGGCTGGTAGTACCCAGTGAGTCTCTATCAAAGCTCTGTCCTCAGCCAGAGAGACACTTCCCCACACAACCATCACACTTGGGGAGGGGTCAGGCCACGCTAAAAATGCTTCCATAACAGCAGAATCCAGGTCTTTTACCAGAAACACTTTCAGAGTTTTATTTTTGCTTCTAAAGTTTGAAGGAGCCAACTGATAACTCTGTTAAAGCATCCGTCCCCGCCCCCTCACTGCTGTCTTTTCCTGCCTCCTAGGCTCCCCAGCAGGTATTTCCCAGAGGTTCTCCTTCATCAGAGCTGCAGTACACTAGTGTACTCCCAGCCTCTGCCTGG